CTGAAACTGAAAACTGAAAGTAAAGATATTCCAAAACTAAATCATGAAGTGAAATCCTACATCATCGGTAGAATGAATGAGAGTCCCTGCTTAGCACGATCAAGCTTGAGACTGGAACCGTCCGTTACCTGAAAAGAACAATAAAGAAGTGGGTCAGGCCCACATGCAAGTCCTAAACCAACTGTAATCCATACAGTGCCCGATACGCAGATACACCCTAGATACCTTCAACAAGACTACGTAATCCATAATTATACATATATATCCACACTAAGGACATTCGCTGAACTATAGTAGAGGTCTCAACCTGAATAGAAGGCAACATGCGAAGACGCACCCAAAGATGGGCATGAGTACCTAGACCTAACATGGTACACTTACCTACTATATCCAGCTACGCATCCACTGCATATACGCACCCTAACCAACGACTCTGAGACTCACGCTCATATCGTGGTACCATAACCATATATCTAAAGTCCATCCAAAACCATAGTATGTCATTCACTTATTCAATGAGGAGACATACAAAATACCGTCCAGGTAAGCCCTCAACTTATTCAGTTGAGTGACTTAATTACAACCAATTAATCCAGGAAGTCACTCAACCTAGCCAGTTGATTTGACTTAAACACATTAATGGATTCCATATTTTACAATCCATATTTTCCATCCAGTAGGTTAGGTTAGCGTTTTTAAGCTAGCCCATCCCCTAGTATGCCACCGTCCCATACCGGTGCATACAATCCTCCATAATCATGCAGATTATAACCTATAAACAATTATTAAATGATTTACAGTTCAAATCCTCATCCATGAAATTGTAGGAAAACAGTTTATATTCTAGCAATTTAAATCCGAGCACAAATTCAGTTAATTGCAGAAAAGATTTAAATTTGTCAACCATTAATATCCAGAGCATGCATATAACACATTTATTAAATAGATAACCCTAAAATGCATTTAGAATCAACATATAGGTTCATGTTAATCCACTGGATTCACAAAGTTTAGCCTAAGCAACTAAGTCTCCTTCTGTCGGTTAATCGTATACAATGTACATAACCTTTCTACAATTTGTTTTGTTAATTTAGAGGCAAGCTTTGATCAATCAAGGATCCTATTAGCACTTAAAATTAGCTTCTTAGTCACACTGAAAAGCCCCAGAATTTTTAAACATAGTTCAGACCCTCAAAATTCCAAACAGATCGTTAAAATTCAACTTCAAAACTAAGTTTAAGAGAGAGCCTGCTCTACTTTTAAAAGAGCAGGCTCTTGGAATTCCTAGAGCCACCTCTAAGGAGGGTAAAGCCGGCTCTACCTCTCCTAGAGCCGGCTCTTTGATGGGGGAGCCGGCTCTTTGTATTCCAGAGCTGGCTCTCTCCTCCTCCTCGAGCCTCCTTCAACCTCTGTTGCTCTTACAACTTCCTGCAATGTTTCCGGCCATTCACAACCTGTCTAGTTGGTTTAAAACTAATCCTAAGAGTTCCATCTAAGTCCAGTATCATTCCTAAGATGTGTTTACAGCAGTTAAATACAAAAACAGAGGCTACAAATTCATCAGATTTTTCATGCTTTAAGAAACAATTTAATCACATATAGGCACAAACTGTAACTGAATAAATTTTCACACATACAGAACATTGATATTCCATCAAATATACACAAGAAACTCAGTAAATTCTTAATTAAATCCTAGAGGCCACCTAGGTGCACAGAACACAAGCAAAGGGAAAAAGAAGGGAAAGAACTTGCCTTTGAGTTTCAGACTCGAAACTTTTAATTCTCAGCTTTTGTGGTGATATGTTTGTGTCATAAACTGCAAGTCTGCTTCCCCAGTAACTTGGTTCAACCTAGAGACACCTTCTATCTTCCTCTGTTCTCCCTCTGTACCTCACAGTTTCTGTGTCTTTCACAGAACTCAATTCACGTCTCCGAGTTAACTGCTATGAATCCAAAAACCCTAAGCTTACTGCACGTAATATATTTATAAGCTTAACTCTGAACCCTAATCCTTGTAACCCTAAAGCCAGAGCCCATCTCGGCCCATAAACTAACCTAGGATAAATACCTACGTAGCCACCCATGTGAATTGCAACCCTAAATTCACGTAGAGAACAGAAAAACTAAATTCCCTTAAATTTAAATTTTCATTAAATAAAATTGATTAAACAATTAAATAAACACAATTAAATTAAATTAAATTAAATTAAATAAACAATTACCAAAAACAATTTAAGTAACATGACTGATTAAACAAATAAACCATTAAGCAATTAAATAAAACTATTACGCAAATAAGCAAATAAAATGCAAATAAACCATAAATTAAATTCCAGGAATAGCCTTTTAAAATTAGGGGTATTACAGACAACGGGGTGAACATTAAACCCCAAGGAGGTCACACCAAAATCTAAACTTGGCTTCAAACCCGAACTCGAAAAATGGCCGAAAACGGATTCTAATAAGGGGGAAAGAACCGCATCGCCAAGACCTACGATAAACACTAAGGAATCACCACTTTTTACTAAAGGGAAGAGGTCCAAAGGAGGAGAGAGAAGATTGCAGCCATGAGAGGAGCTTTGGCCGGCCAAGAGAGGGGAAAGAAATGAAAAAATATGATTTTTCATTTTAGAGACCCCTATTTATAGAAAAACCCTAAAAGTGTCTTGAACGAGCCCCACCAGGTCCAGAAAAGTTGAATTTGAGTAGACGCACTCAAATGACAAAATACCGTGAACGAAAAAGAACCTAAATGAGAAAAAATGAACAACGGAAGAAACGGTGTCGAAAACTGAGTCCCGAGTAGAGAGATATGCCCCCAAACAATTTCAGCGACAATAAAACTGGGAAAAACGACCGGAATGAAATTCTAAGAGTTCACGACTCGATAAAATGTGAAAATGAATCCCGTACAAGGATTCAGGCTCAAAATGAGGCAATTTGCAATAACTTTTGTTAATTGCACAATGACCCCTCCAAGAAAGGATAACTGCGAAATTTGGCCAGAATGAAAATATCTTCGATATTTTCTTTAAAACTCCTGAAATAAATATCTTCAGCAGATATTTACGAAAAACACCCGTAGAAACATCAATGTTTCTGAAGAATCCTTTCATCCACGCCCCTTCGGAAGAAAGAAACAACCGGCGAACTTTTCTCCAAAAGTAAAGCTATGGTTTCAAGGAAACCAACAAGAATGAAACTACGTGAAGTCAAAACTCAACTCCGAACACGGAAAGTGAGGTTGTGCCAACAAAGTGACAAACAAGAAAAAGATGAAAAGTGAATAGTGTCCAAAAATAAAAATATAAAAACAACTCAGTCTTTAAAGGAAGTTGTCAATCCAAAGGAACAGACGCCATTTTCGAGCACTCAAGACGACACTAAGTGATGAGTAACCGAACTCAGAAAGGAAAATTCAACGAAAAAAAAATATCCGTAAAATTTGAGAGAGAGAAGAAAAAAAAAAAGAAAAAAAAAAAAAAAAAAAAAAAAAGAAAATGACTGGGTCATTACAGAATCCTCTAAAGTGCAATTTGTATGCGATCCCCTGCAATGTCTTGTAAGTGGTCTATATTTGACCACGTGTTTCTTCATTTAATAGCTCCTAAGACTGTGTTTAGCAATTACACCTCCATTTATAAGTAACATCATAAGACTCTAAAAATTAACATCACCACTTAGGTAATATATAAGTATATATATATACAAGAATGCTTTGAGACTAAGGAAATGAATATATATAAGTATATATATAACACCACCATGATGAATGAAGTTAGATTTATTTGTGACTATTAGTTTTTCAGCGCTATGAGAATACCTTTTTTTAATGGTGAAGGTGGTGAGTGTAGCAATTAATATTAAACTTTGCCAAAAAAATTTCAAAGATATGTTAAATAATTTATACCTTAGTGTGTTTTTTTTTAATATTTGGAAGCAAAAAAATAAATAAATAAATAAAAATAAAATAAAATAAAATAAAAAGGTGTGGCTCTTTTCATTATTTTTGGAAATATCAAGTGTTTTGTTTGTTGTCTAAAGTTAATCGCAGTGACTTTAATTTTGATTTAAATTCTTTAAATTAACATGTTGAAGTGTTTTTAAAATACTTCAATTTCAAATAATAACATAAATGATATGTTGAATTGAGTTACGTTTATATGTGACATTACTTAGTTTGCATTATGTGTATATCTTATTTTGAGGGTAAAGATGGTTTTCACTTTATGAAGTATTTGGCTGTCAACAACTTTTATTTTAAGTGGTGATGTTACCTTATTACAAATGTGTTGCTTTTTAAACTCCTATAATGTTACTTATAAATGGTGGTAAAATGTTACTTATAAATGATAAATGATGGTATAATCGCCAAACAGTCTTAGAAGCTATTAAATGAAGAAACACGTGGTCAAATATAGACCACTTACAAGACACTGCAAGGGACAGCATACAAATTACACTTCAAAGGATTTGCGCTCGGTCTGAGCCCTTCATCTACGTTCCAATTGCATTACACGATTTCTTCCTCATCAATGCAAACAAAGGTAACAGTGAATTTGAATATAAATGCTTAGTTTTCTTAAGTTGCTCCCACTTTGCCTCTTTAGAAAATTTGAATTAGTTTTTGAGAGGCTTAATTCATGTATAAATTTTTATAAAATCATTTATTAAAACTTCTGTAAATATAAAAAAAGACAAAGTTTCTAAAAAACATGTTTTTTGTTTGTGCATTCATGATTCTCCATCGGTGAATCAATGAATCAACTGCATGGAATTGGTCAAATTGATGAAATTGGAGAAAAGTTAAGTTCAAAATTATAAAATATTGAACTAAAATTTTCAATAATTCCACCAATTCTAATTCCATGCAACCGAACATAGCCAAATTAGAATATATATATATATATATATATACATACATACATACATACATACATGTATACATATGGACTTTCAATTTGCATATTCTTTTCTAAGGTAAAGACTACTATATCTCCACAATAATTCATATTCATACACCCCTAATTAATAAGAACGGAAAGAAAATTCCAGTCAAATGATATGAATACAAATTGCCTTCAGAATTAATTACAGCTTTGTGATGAATCTATTCGAGATAAAATTTGGATCAACAATGCATGTCAAACAACATTTATTTACAAAACTAGACGAATATTATTTGGTCAGAATGAATTAAGCCGCCAAGAAGTAACTATTAACAATGTTACACGAATTATATCTCCGGGGTGTAAACTTCATAATTGAGCTACATCTCGTCAGCCCTGTTGTTCAAAGCTTGGAGGAGGAGGAGGAGGAGGAGGAGGGGGAGGAGCGGACTGAAGATTAGGTTTCTGGAGAAGACCGGAAAACTGCTTGTTAGATTTGTGTCTTTCCTCTCCTTGTGCAGAAGTTAACTTCTCCGGACGGAAGTGAGCTTCTCCCACATCCAATTCTGGCTTCCTCTTTACCTTTTTCTTCGTCAAAGCCTCCACCGTCCTGGTGTCACTGGAATTACCTGAATTTCCTCCTTTGACCACCTCTTGTTTTGGCAAGTTCAAGCCCGGATCATTCACTAAGGTACTAGGTATTCGAGTAGCAATAGATGTTGTATTGGCTACTGGCCTATTGAGTGAAGTGATGCCAAGGTTACCTGAATCAGTAACCAACTTCTCTTGCATATATTGTGGCTGAGGTATACAACTAGCTTCAACTTGAATAGTCTCCTCTGTCTTTGGGGTCAACAATTTCTTCCTCCTGATTTTTTCCTGATCCTAAACATAACAGAAAAAATATAGCCATTAGATAACATGAAGATCGGCTTTCAGGAAACTATACATGAAGCCTCACATATATAAGCATTTGCAAAGTGGGACTAAAGCCAAGTATTCTTACAAACTCCAAAATCAAATATTCTTACGAATTCCTGTGAGAAGTTTAGTAACTTTTGCTCCCATCCGAAAACAAGTGTTGGATAAATCTCATATACACAATGCAGAAGCTCTGAATTACGAAAATCTTTACTATGCTTCAAGATGATACTGGAATGTGCATACACAGGGAAGTTAGAGAACATCCATACCTTCTGCCGGCTGTACAGAGCCCTCCTCCTATCTTTTGCCCTAACTATAGCGCGTTTAATCCCATGGTTGTTCATTAATCCATTTGGCCACAATTCTGCAAGCTGCATTGGAGAATTTTAAAACAACTAAAAATAGTAAAAGAAGCTTTATAGTCATTGCTGAAGAAGGCTTGCCATAACAGCCAATAATTTCCAAGAAATGAACTCAAAGTCTCAAACAGATAGCAAATTCAAACAAGAACAGAGACAAAGCACTATACATCATTTCATATCCTTCTAGGCAAAAAGACACTCACCAATGAAATTTTAATCAATAGAATGTGAGATGCAAACCAACTAAGCAGCACGGAGATGGACACGGGACATGAACACCGGACATGAACATGGAACGACATGTATATGCCAATATGTAAAATTATAAAAAAGTAGGATACATACACGGCTTGGACACAGTTAATATAAATATATATTTACATTTATATATCTATTGAATGAGACAATCATAGAATTTTAATTAACTTATAAATTCTATACTAGAGTTACATAAGCTAGAAAGCTAGAAGATGATGATGCTCGAATATAAAAAAAGATTAGGCTATATTATATATATATATATTACTATCCTATTTGGTCATTATAGTTATGTTTTTGTTCCTAGAGGTTAAACATTTTGATGTATGTTCATAATCTTGTTACCAGAATTGTCGTGTATTTGTTTTATATAAGACAGAGTGTAAGATGTGTTGGTCGATTGTCCAGATTCTCCAGAATCTAACGACCAAGTGTCCGAAATAGTAAAATCAATTTTTAAATAATGGACATGGCCATGAAGTGTTATACATGTGTCTATCTGAGTATCCATGGATTATTGGTGTCGGACTCGGACACATCACCTCATAGAAGTGTCCGTGCTTCTTAGCAAACCAATAACGATTACAATAAATAAAGCCTATTGCCAGAACTGTTTTATCTTCTTTCATGGCAACCCAATACATCATGTGAATTTTCACATGACACCATGAAATCAGGAAAAATACTGCAATAGCCCTTCTTTCTCTTATGATGTAGAAAAGTATGTTCGAGACAACTACCTCTGCATACAGCTTTCTGACTTGCGGACCTGCATCTTCATCCAGCCCCTAGATACATATAATAAATACTGATTAAGATATAGCACAAGAGAATTTCTCCAACATAGCACCATATCCAAAAGCATATATTCCAGACAGAAAACAGTACTTCAACATAAAGGTCATAGAGATCGCATATCTTCTCCTCCAATGCATCATCCATGCCACATTTTCTTTCTTCTTTCTCTTGGTTACCAATTTCTTGAAAATCATCAGATACACCAGCTTGTTGCTCAATTGCCTGAAATATCATACATTATGTATCAGTATATAATTATACCAACTTTTGTCATTATTATAAGAAACACCAAGAAAATAACAAAAAGTATTAAGACAAACACATTTTGGTCACAAAGCACTAATTCCACGTCAAATACTTTTAGGGTGTGCTCGGTTGCATGGAATTGGAGCCTGGAATTGGTGGAATCTGAGAAAAACAACTAAGAAAATTGGACAAAAATTTTCTCAAATTCCACCAATTCCAATTTCAAGGCTCCAATTCCACGCAACCGAACACACACTTAGGAACAAATCCTATTGTCCAATAAGTATTTTTTAAATTTGGAACAAGTGGGTAATTCACCAAAAAAAATACTTCAAAAAGGACACTGTATGCCTCAAAAATACAACAACAATACCTTGGGCTTAGGAGAAAGAACCCGCACTTTAATCATCTCAACAACTTCCTTTTTAATCTGCTGAAACCTACCCTCGTTCTCCTGTTTCGCTGACAAATCCATAGTAACCATGACCTTTAAGTTTCTCTGTGGCAAAAACATGCTGCATTGATCAATAATCAATGTAATAACTGCAAAGAAAGCACCCGTGCCAAATAATCATGACGACTAAAATACTGTTAAATAAACACATTATTAGTGAATATAAATTTGACTATAAGGTAATATTGTTAACAACAGGAATTTTTTTTTTTTTTTTTTTTTTTTTTTTTTTTGATAAATAAGAAAAAATAAATAAAAGAGACTATATACACTTTGCCACACTCAGTGTGACCAAATGCTACAATCTACAGTAAAAGCATCACATAATCTTATTGTGTCTAACTCTATCACAAACTATGTTACATGGACTTGGGTACGAGTTTTAGGTCTAGGAATGCATCCAAAACGTCAGATTTATGAATTCCTAAACACAAGGACACAGTGACACAGCTACAAGCTCATACTACTAAATATTCTTGTTTTATTTTTAGAATAAATAATGTGTTTATGTAAGACGAAGTTTTCAACATAGGCATTTCACTGTTTTGAAGCAATAATGTATGGAACTTTATTTATTCATTTATTATTATTTTTTTATTAGCAATAATGTATGGATCATATTAAGAGAGTTTTATAGACTATAATGATAAACTTCAATTATTGGTATTTTTCTTAGGTGCATGTTCAACTAGACGTGTAAGACATATATCTAATACCCATGTCTGTGGTATTCTGTTTGGCATAAGTACTTCACGCAATTTTAACATAGATAACAAATTATCGCAAATTCTTCACATGGTAAGGTAGCACAAACATACTTAGAGCAATAAATGATATTCTACTAAACCAATGCACCTGCCATTATTTCATCAAGACCATGCATATGAGCATAATTTGATGAAAACTGAAATTTAATCCACTAACAATTAAATATATGACTATAGTCAAAGAGTTCCAAAAACATTCCAGAAATCTTATCACAGTCTGTCGGTTAATCACAGTGATATCAGCTTCCCATGGAAAAGCGTGTAGCTTTCATCTGCTCAAAGAAGAAGAAGAAGATTTAGTAAAGGTTGTGATATAGAACAGCTCGCTCACGATTATCTGAACATACAGGATCATCCCAAATCAGGAAGGCTGAAAAGGTAAGGAGAATATAAGGAAGTAAATAAATAAAGAAAAGTCAAAAGAATCACCGCAAATCAAGGAGGATGAAAAGGTAAGGAGAATAGAAGGAAATAAATAAATAAGGAAAAGTCAAAAGGAGATTTGGTATAGTTGTCAGAAATAGAAGATATTATTCTCCATTGCAAGATTTAAGGAGGATTTTACTCCATCAAATCTCAAATTTCCCCTTTAATATTATTTCACGCATACTTTCTTTTTTTTAATTTTATTTTTGACTTACTATATAAAGGCAAGAGATGTAAGTCTACAGACATCATCATTATCAATATAATTTTAGTTTCTCTCTTGTGAGTGTGTTCTTTGTGAGTTCAAGGGTTTAAACCTGTTCTTTATCGTTTCCGCTACGTTAGTTGGTATCAGAGCAAGGTTCTGAATCCAAGATTCGCCTTTGTTTTCGATGGCCGGTTCACGAGATGGAAGCAACGCCTCCAGCGACTGTGATAATGATGGAGTAGCTCTTTTGAGGGCTGAGTTTACTGAGTTCCAGACCAACGTTAATCGAACGTTGCTTGATATGCATGAAACTATGCGTCAACTATTGGCGAGATTAACAACGGTAGAACTTAGCCGCGAGAAAAATAGGCTGCCCAACGACGCTGATCATGGACGTCCTGCTGGTAATCGCAACCACCGAGCCATACAAGTGTTTGAAGATAATTGAGGTAGATGGGAAATTGATGATTCCAAGGATTTTCGTATAAAGATTGACCTACCCACCTTTCAAGGTCATCTTCATATTGAAGAATTCTTGGACTGGATTAGCGAAGTTGAACGTTTCTTTGACTATATGAAAATCCAGGAGGAGAAGCAAGTCAAACTCGTGGCCTATAAGTTGAAAGGCGGTGCATCAGCATGGTGGGATCAAGTGCAAACTACCCATGCACGTGAGGGTAAGGATCCGGTACGTATGTGGGTTAAGATGAAGAAGTTGATGAAAGCTCGACTTTTACCCCCTGATTACGAATAGGTTCTTTATCAGAAACATCAGTCCTGCACGCAGGGAAGTAGAACGATTGCTGACTATGCTGAAGAATTTTATCAGTTGTCATCCCGTAACAACCTGGTGGAACCCGAATTTAGTATGGTGGCCTGTTTCAAAGGCGGGTTATGATGGGATATTGAAGAGAAAGTGGCGCTGCAACCGTTATTCAAACTGTCTGAAATTTTCACAGCAGCAGAGAGAGCAGAATCGTTACTGGAGAAGTCAAAGAATCGGTCTCATGGTTCATATAATACCCAACGTCCTACACATGACATGGGTAAACAGACCACGGTAGCCCTTGCTCCAATGACATGGCGAGGCATTGGAGATGGTCCAACAAAGACCAAACCTGCAGCACCAATAGGCCCTGTTGGGAGGGGAGCCCCAGCTGTAAGAGAAAATCCCTATGTACACCCAAGTATGGGCAAGTGTTTTCGATGTGGAGAACCTGGCCATAAATCCAACAATTGCCTCAAGCAACCGACAGTAAATCTGGTCGAGCATGAAGAAGGCGAGGGTGAGGAAGGTGAGTTCCTTACCTTTAAAGAAGAAGAGGTGACTGAAGGAGACAATGGCGAGTTGTTGTCCCACTCTTTAGTCGTGAGGAGGTTGATGTTCACGCCAAAGGAGGAGGAGCACCCGCAGCATCATATTGTGTTCCGTACGTGTTGCACTGTCAACCATAACCATAAGGTATGTGACGTTATTATTGATAGCGGCAGTAGTGAGAACATTGTTTCCTTAACAATGGTTCAAAAATTGGGGCTTAAAACAGAGAAACACCACCATCCATACAGAATTGGATGGATCAAGAAAGGCTTAGAAACGCGAGCAACTGAAACCTACACTGTTCCGTTCTCAATTTGGAAAACATATGCAGAGGAGGTGCGTTGTGATGTAGTCGACATGGATGCATGCCATATGTTATTGGGCAAACCATGGCAATTTGATGTCGATGCCACTCACCGTGGTAGAGACAATGTGTATATTCTATACAAGAATGATCAGAAGATTGTTTTGGATCCGATGAAAGAAGCCGAATTTCCCAAAGGAAATTCAGTTATATTGATCAACAGTGAGGAATTTATGGGCGAAGTAACAACTGCCCTGAAATCTTTGTTGTTATGTGCAAGGGGGAAGTAGTTAAACAACCTCCTTTTATAGTACCAACAATAGTGCAGCCATTACTGCAGAAGTTTAGTGAGTTGGTGCCGGAAGACTTACCTGATAGTCTCTCTCCCATGAGGGACATTCAGCACCACATTGACTTGGTGCCTAGGGCGAGCCTGCCAAATCTACCACTTTACCGAATGAGTCCCAACGAGAGTCGGATATTACAAGAGCAAGTGGAAGAGTTACTACGGAAAGGGTTGATTCAGGAGAGCATGAGCCCATATGCCGTTCCGGCCTTGCTAGTACCGAAGAAAGATGGCAGTTGGAGAATGCACGTTGATAGTCGCGCAATTAACAGAATTACTGTCAAGTACAGATTTCCCATTCCATGGTTGGATGATATGCTGGATATGTTGGCGGGATCGAAAGTCTTCACCAAAGTGGACCTCAAGAGTGGATACCATCAGATCAGAATCCGCCCTGGGGATGAGTGGAAAACAGCGTTCAAAACAAAAGAAGGCCTGTATGAGTGGTTAGTCATGCCATTCGGATTATCCAATGCGCCAAGTACTTTCATGCGGTTGATGAATACCATTTATTGGTCGATTTGTAGTTGTTTATTTCGATGATATTCTGGTTTATAGTCAAACAGAGGCAGAACACCTTTTGCACTTGAGAGAGGTATTAACAGCTTTGCAGAAGAATAAATTGTTCATTAATCTGAAGAAGTGTAGCTTTGTGACCCCAAGCCTAGTATTCCTCGGCTATGTGGTTTGTAGTGATGGCATTCGAGTAGATAAGGAGAAGGTGAGGGCCATTCGGGAGTGGCCTACGTCGAAGAATGTGGGAGAAGTACACAGTTTCCATGGCTTAGCCACGTTCTACCGAAAGTTCATCAAGAACTTTAGTAGTATTATGGCTCCCATCACAGAATGCATGAAGAAAGGAAAATTCCAATGGAGAGGGGAAGCTGAGATCAGTTTTGCCTTAATCAAGGAAAAAGTCAACAGCCCCTTCCAGATTTTGAGAAGCTATTTCAGGTAGATTGTGATGCCTCAATAGTGGGAATCGGAGCAGTTCTATCACAAGAAGGAAGGCCAGTAGCGTTTTACAGTGAGAAGCTGAGTGAAGCACGCAAGAAGTGGACTACCTATGAGTTGGAATTCTATGCGGTGGTGCAAGCTTTGCATACATAGGAGCATTATCTTATCCAGCGAGAGTTCATGTTGTTTACAGATCACCAAGCACTGAAATCCATTAACAATCAAAGTAGTGTCAATCGGATACACGCGCGATGGGCGGCTTATATCCAGCGATTCATTTTCTCGCTAAAACACAAGTCGGGCCAACAGAACAAAGTTGCAAATGCACTAAGTCGGAGAGCAGCTTTCTTAGAAACTATAAGGGCTGAAATCACAGGGTTCAAATGCCTAAAGGAGTTACATGAGGCTGACGAAGATTTTGGCCAAGCCTAGGCAGCATGTAAAACAAGCCAATCCTTTAAAGGGTTGCACATGCTGGAAGGATTTCTCTTTAATGACAATCAGTTGTGTATTCCACAGAGCTCTTTGCGGGAGCAAGTGGTTCGTGAATAGCATGGAGGAGGATTAGGACATTTAGGGCGTGATAAGACGCAAGAGCTGGTAGAAGAACGGTATTATTGGCCACAACTCAAGCGTGACATGGTGAACCATGTGCGGCGGTGCTCAATCTGCTAAACTAATAAAGGCCAATCTCAGAATACTGGTCTTTACACACCGCTGCCTATTCCAGATGCTCTATGGGAGGATTTATCCATGGATTTTGTTCTAGGGTTGCCGAGGACGCAGCGAGGAGCAGACTCTGTTTTTGTGGTGGTCGATCGATTCTCCAAGATATCCCATTTTATTGCATGCAAGAAGACAAACGATGCAGTCCAAATGGCCAATCTATTCTTTAAGGAGGTGGTTCGTTTACATGGGGTGCCACAGTCCATTACCTCAGATCGTGACACCAAGTTTTTATCTCACTTTTGGTGGACTTTATGGAAGAGATTCGATACCTCTCTTAATTTCAGTAGCACCAGTCACCCCGATGGCCAAACAGAGGTGGTGAATAGGACCCTTGGAAATCTAATTCGCTGTATTTCAGGAGAGATACCAAAACAGTGGGATCTTGCTCTTGCCCAGGCAGAATTTGCTCACAATTGCATGGTTAACAGGTCCACTGGCAAATCCCCATTTGCAGTTGTGTATTGTTGTCCTCCAAAAGTTGCTTTGGATTTGGTTTCCTTACCGAAGTTGCCGGGGAAGAGCGTCGCTGCAGAGAAAATGGTTGAGCACATTAAGACCATTTAGGAGAGTGTCAAGAAACATCTAGAGGAAACTTACGCCAAATACAAGGCCGCAGCTGACAAGAGACGAAGGAAAAGAGTTTTTGAAGAAGGAGACTTGGTTATGGTGTATCTAAGAAAGGAGAGGTTTCCAGTGGGAACATACAACAAGCTGCAAGCCAAGAAATATGGTCCGTACCAGATTCTAAAAAAACATCAACGACAACGCCTATGTGATTGATTTACCTACTGACATGGCCATTTCTTCTACCTTCAATGTGGCTGACATACAGGAATATTATCCTCCAGATTCGGGTAACTCGGGGACGAGTTCTTTTTACGCAGGGGAGACTGATGTAGAACAGCTCGCTCACGATTATCTGAACATACAGGATCATCCCAAATCAGGGAGGCTGAAAAGGTAAGGAGAATAGAAGGAAATAAATAAATAAGGAAAAATCAAAAGAATCATCGCAAATCAAGGCGGCTGAAAAGGTAAGGAGAATAGAAGGAAATAAAAAAATAAATAAGGAAAAGTCAAAAGGGGATTTGGTGTAGTTGTCAGCAATAGAAGATATTATTCTCCATTGCAAGATTTAAGAAGGATTCTACTCCATCAAATCTCAAATTTCCCCTTTAATATTATTTCACGCATACTTTCTTTTTTTATTTTATTTTTGACTTGCCTATATAAAGGCAAGAGATGTAAGTCTACAGACATCATCATTATCAATATAATTTCAGTTTCTCTCTTGTGAGTGTGTTCTTTGTGAGTTCAAGGGTTTAACCCTGTTCTTTATCGTTTCCGCTACGTTAATGTAGAATAGCTCCCTCACGATTATCTGAACATACAGGATTATCCCAAATCAAGGAGGTTGAAAAGGTAAGGAGAATAGAATGAAATAAATAAATAAGGCAAAGTCAAAAGAATCATCGCAAATCAGGGAGGCTGAAAAGGTAAAGGAGAATAGAAGGAAATAAATAAATAAATAAATAAGGAAAAGTCAAAAAGAGATTTAGTGTAGTTGTCAGCAATAGAAGATATTATTCTCCATTGCAAGATTTAAGAAGGATTCTACTCCATCAAATCTCAAATTTCCCCTCTAATATTATTTCACTCATTCTTTTCTTTTTTTTTCTTTTTTTTTTTTTTTTGACTTGCCTATATAAAGGCAAGAGATGTAAGTCTACAGACATCATCATTATCAATATAATTTCAGTTTCTCTTTTGTGAGTGTGTTCTTTGTGAGTTCAAGGGTTTAACCCTGTTCTTTATCGTTTCCGCTACATTAGGTTGCTTTTCTTATTGGGATGAAGGTTTAGAGTATAAGCTACGTAGTTGCTAATATGACAACTACAAAGTGGATTATCCCTAACAGATGTATAATGGGCACAGAGGTGGAGTTAGTGAACTCAGGTTCGTGTATCGGGTGCAGGTTTATATCCACGTGTCGGATGTGTCAAATCCCCAAACAAAAAGACACGTGGATACTACTAAATATTTATATTATTTTATATATTTATTTTATATCTAGGTAAAATAATGTCTTTATGTAACATACTGTGCAATATTGGCATTTCACTCATTTTTGAAGCAATAATACAATAAAATTGAATTATTGGACATGATTTTTTTAGCACATGTCCAACCAAAAGTGTCGAACACATATCCCATACCATGTTGGATTAATGTGTGTCAGACACGGATACGTCGCCTACTATTGAAGAGTCCATATAACATAGATATGCACTGTAAGGTGTATTCTATATTTTTTCTTTGCGGAATTCGTATGGTTTTGCCAGAATAGTGTCACAGGCCCACAATTTCTCCAATACTCTAACCACACCCATCTGGCAAAGGCGTTGTCCCTCCTTGTGACAAGACCATGGTCATGCTAACTCCCGCACTCACTAGTACCTCGTGCTAGTGTTGTACTGGCCCTCGCCTTCACTCTGGTTTGCACATTCACACACACTTGGTCACTTGGTTGGCAAGAGGAATAATATACTTCTATTACTACTCAAATATATGTTATACAAGGGGACTTGGGATCCTGTGATTGACTGGTTTGAGAAGAGATTGGCGGGGTGGAAGAAGCAATATTTGGCGACGCCCGGGGGGGGTGTTCAAGAGCACTCTCTCAAACCTTCTCACTTATTTCCTTTCTATGTTCCAAATTCCGTGTTCTATTGCTGAAAGGATCTAAAAACTTCAAAGGGACTTCCTGTGGGGCGGAAGGGGCGAAGAGTTCAAGTACCACCTCGTCAAGTGGGAGCAAATTTGCAAGCCCTTTAAGTTGGGTGGCCTGGGCATTAGGAGGCTGGTCCCCTTTAATAGAGCTCTCCTAAGTAAGTGGCTGTGGAGATTTGGTAGGGAATGACGCCACCCGTGGAGGAGGATTGTCGCATGTCGTTATGGGGAAGAGAGAGGTGGGTGGTCTTTCTGCCCAGTCTCTAATGCAGGAAAGTTGGCGTGTGGAAAATTATTCGGAAAGGTTGGGACGTCTTTTCCTCTCATATCAGATTCAAAGTGCGGGATGGTAGATCTGTCCGGTTCTGGGAGGATCTATGGTGCGGAGACCAGCCGTTGTCTTGCTCTTTTCCCAGACTTTTTAGAATCGCTGATGATAGACATGCCTTTGTAGTTGATTTCTATCAGCTTAATAGTAGTGGGATTACATGGGATGTGCGCTTTAGACATTCTTTTCAGGATTGGGAGATGGATAAGGTTTGCGCTCTTATGGATATGTTGTATCAACAGGAGGTAGGTGGCATAGGTGATGATGTTCTTCTGTGGGTTCCCTGTACCCATGGACGATTCGATGTCCGATCCATGTTTCTGTGTCTTTCCAACTTTGCTGGTTTTGATTTACCTTGGAAGACTATTTGGCGCTCTAAGGCTCCCCTTAGAGTGGCATTCTTTGTTTGAACTGCTGTTTGGGGTAAGATCTTGACATTGGATAACCTGAGGAAGAAATGCATTATCATTGTCAACCGGTGCTGCCTATGCAAAAACGATGGTGAGTCTACGGATCATCTACTCTTACATTGCCCCGTGGTGCACGATCGCTGGAATCTTATCTTCGGATTATTCGGCATTTCTTGGGTGATGCCTCGGTCCACAAGGGGCATGATTAAAGCGTGGAGGGGATGTTATGTGGGGGGTCATGCTTGTGATTGTTGGAGGACCGTTCCACATTGCGTATGGTGGTGCATATGGAGAAAGAGGAATAACAGATTTTTTGAAGGAAAGGAGGCGCCTACGGCGACTTTGAAACTTTATATCATTTGCTCCATTTTCAGTTGGGTGAAGGGGACACTGCTTTTCTTCTGACAATGTTGTTGATTTCTTGGACTCACTGGGTCCATAGGTTCCTGTTTTATTTTTGGACATGGGACGCGTTCCCCTTTTGAACGCTCTTTTTAATGAATTTTTTCTTATAAAAAATAATATATATGGTGTACAAGGCTCTCTCACTCCTAAAGCTTGTTGATTACAAATGACGCATCCTCTTCTTATATAGACACCCTATCTACCTTCTAAAACTTTCTACATAAATGTCCTACATATTTACACTACAAAACTATCCATTTTTCTAGAATATTCTAGAACCAACTAGCTTCTACAAATTCTCCAACATTCTAGAATCTCCCAACTTTCTCCAACACTCCACAATCTTCTGGAAGATTCTAGAACTCTACTCTCCTCATGCCATGCAAACGCTATATAGAGTCCTCAGCGCGTCGCCCCTGAGGTGCAGCCTCCCTCCAAGTTGGTGGGGCGTGACAATGGGACCTCAATTCACTTGCGGATGACGTTGGAGTTGGGATGTAAGAGGACATAAGAATTTGCAGCAGTGCATCTCACACTAAGGCGCTGAAATTTGAAGTGCTGAATATATTAATCTGTAAACTTGTTTGATATTGAATTAATTTTAAGCGCTGGATTCATTAAGATTGTTTGTTAAATGCAAAAGCTGAAATCTGAATGTTGTATCTATTACATTTTTGCCTTGAATATCTTCTACACATAATATTATGATAAAAGATATTATATTAAAACATAAGCATATAGAGCCCTAGCAGAATAAAGCAACTTTTGAAGAAATCTTAAATTGAAAAGCATTGGAAATGAAGAAACAGGTGTGAATGAGCATATTAATAACTCATCAAAAAGAGATACCTTTAATGTTCTAAGCTGTATCGAGTTACCAAGAATACCCATCAGACGATTGAGCAGCTCCTTTGATATTTTTCCATGGCTTGCCTGCTGCAACCATCCAAAAACAAATAAGGCAAAGTTTCTTTCTAAAAGCTTCATGTTTAGAAAGAGGAGAATAAAAATGTAAGAGCAAGAATAATCCCATCAAAACAGAAATCCAAGAATTAAATGGTTATGTTATTATTCATCATTACCGCTAGTCTAGCAACTTTAGCAAGCTTCTGCTTTACTTCATGTGGTAATCTCCTTTTTACCGCCTGGGACGAAGTATCTGCATCTGGAACTTCCATAGTAGGTGGTCTTGCTGCTATTTTTTTAAGAAGGAACAATTAATCAATTCATGAGGAACTTTTTCACATTATCAACAATACATATCATAATTCTCAAAACAACAGTTGGACATACATTCTACAACCATCTTCTCCAACTCCTTGATAGCCTTTTCAAGTGTTGTACTTTTTGGCCGGACACTAGAACCTTCCCTTCTATGCATGACTGGAGCCTTCTGCATTGTTTTAGATACAAAATCAATCTTAGCAACATAAATCGTAAAACGCATATATCCACGTGAGTGATAGGAATACTGAATGCAAAATATAACTTATAAGCACAATAGTGTAGAATATACCAAATTCTGCTTGTACATCGGACATTGATGCAAAAGAACTATGATTCATACTATGTATATGAATACATATTAAAAACATGGGAAGAATTAAATGTAAACATAAAAAGGAATTAAATGGAGTAATTTTTTGTGTATTAACATCGTAAGAAAGCATCTAAAGATTTTCTAACCAACTAATGCAGTCTATGAACAGCTCAAGAAAAGCAAGTCTGAAGAAGAGAGATCATGGAAATTTGTTCAAAAGATATGCCCGCTTGGACCCCTCCATATTCAAGTTTACCTCTAATAAAATCTTATTTTATGCTTTTTGAGTTAATTTGTTTTGGTTTAGTCTTATATATGTTACAATATTTAGGAGTCAAGGCTGTTCTGACAATATATATATCTGTATATATGTATATATATATTTGCAATTCAAACTGTAACAGCAATACATGGGTCCTATTTTGGGTCAAGTTATGGTATTGGGCCCATAGTTGTTAAAGGCTCAAGGCGCACAAGGCGCCATGGTATCCTGGAGCCTGAGGCGCAAGGTGAGGCATGGGCCTGACTTAAGTGAGGCGCAAATTGAAATATATTACATCTGTAGCCAACAACAAAAGCTAGCAGCAATATAAAGCTTACAAATACAATAAGCACTATGGCCAAGCAGCAATACAAACTCTAAGTCTCTAACAAAATATCCAGATGCAATACAAGCAACCCAGCCAAGCAAACCAAGTACAATAAGCAGCTACCATTTTTGGAGAAAATAATAAATCATAAACCAAATACAGTAAGCAAAGTAGCAAACCAAACCCTTAAGTTGAATAGTTAATAATCAGCCACCTTTTCTGGATAAAATTATAAATCATAAACCAAATACAGTAATAAGAATTGCAAACCAAATGCTTAAGTTCAATAGTTAACAAACTTAACATACTAACATAAAATAAAGAAATAAACAAGAAAACGGACGAAAAAAAAAAAAATGATTTTGAAGAAGAGAGCAGCTGCCAAGGGAAGAGGAGGGGGGGAAAAAGAGAAGAAGCAGAAGTGCAGAAAAGATTCTGCAGAAGAAGAACTGACTGATTTGGGTTGGGTCCGTTGGGAATTGGTATAATCAACTTTTATTTTATTTTTATAATTCCTCTTATAGAATTTCACTGTTAGTAAACTTTCACTTTTATAGAATTTCACTGTTAGTAAACTTTCTATGTTAGAGAATCACTGTTAGTAAACTTTCACTTTTATAGAATTTCATTGTTAGTAAACTTCCACTGTTATAGAATTTCATTGTTAGTAAACTAGTAAACTTCACTTTTATACAATTTCAATGTTAGTAAGCTTCCACTTTTATACAATTTGACTGCTAGGAGATTATTACACACAAAAACAAACAAGCGAGTTGGGAAATTAAAAAACAAATGACTCTTCAGTCAGGCGCGCCTTTCTTGCGCCTTGCGCTTGGTGCGCCTGCAACAAAGGCACGAGCCCAGGTGCAAAAGGTGCACCTCGATGCACCTCACACCTTTAAAAACTATGATTGGGCCTATGTAGTTTTTTTTTTTTTTGGGTTGACGATGGTTGTGGTGTATGGCACACCATAATTCATCACCGGGCACATGCAGTCCCCCCATCCCACATGCACCGGGCAGTTACCTTGAAAATTCCCTAGGGTTAGCATTTTACTAGTCAAAATTTCTAAATTTCTAAATTCCTAAATACGGAGTCCGAGCCCTAATAAATTTAGAATTACCTATAAGTCTGTACAAAACTACAAGTATTTCTAAATTCCTAAATAAGGTAACTTTCAGGAGCTTTTGAAGCTCTCTCTGGACAGTGTGAAGTCATTCTAATTCCAAGTATTGAGCATAAGTGAATCAAGCTGTCATGCCTAAATTACCTACAAGTCTGTACAAACTACATGATGCTTTCAAATGAATGGTAAACAAGATAAGGTAACTTTCAGAAGCTTTTGATGCTCTCCTGGGACAGTGTGATGTCATCCTAATTCCAAGTCTTAAGCATAAGTGAATCTAGCTGACATACTTAACTTATCCCCCTTTTTATTTGCTTTTGTTTTTTGAACCATATTAACCTGCAAGTATACCTTATTGAACATTTTCTTACGATTTCAGAAGATTCAGTTTACAATCTTTTTCTTTGCCGAGAATTCAATTATAGCAACTCAAAACTATAAAATAAATAAGAGATAATCTAACAGAACAGCCATCAATTTGTTTAACTTTACAACCTAAAAGCCTACCGACCTAAACCTTTCCCAACTACAGAAACTTCCTCCTTAAGACCTAATACCTTCAAAAAGGTTGCTGTCCGCCAATTCCAGCAACCTTTCTCCTGAACTTCCAATGATCGAACACTGCCATTTCCAAACCCTAGCCATCCACAAGCCCAAAAGCTTCTGGCCCCTTACTGAAAGCTAAATCTATAAACTTTCGTAGCCTAAGCTCACCAAATATTCAACTGCATGCAGCATTCCCCTTCATTAACAAGATGCTACCGTACATCAATTTGACATTGTAGTCTGCAGAAAATTGTCTTTTGAATGTGATTTTATTAGTCAACTCAGGAATGAGTTTAACCAAAAGAGGTCTCAACCTTCGAATTTCTACAAACTTGTACAGCTCTAATTGATTCAGATATTTTAGTTCTCCAAAGCTTATAAAATTAATCTTGAATTTTACATGATGTCAAGGTGAAGTAGAGAACAAAACCTAATACACACAATTGCAAAGGAGTTGCACTTGGACTGCACTACTAGTTACATTATGAGTCCACATCTCAACCACCTCACTGTACTGACTTAACCCATGCTTCATCAAAAATATCTATTTCTTTATTATTATAAGTTATTTGCAAGTTTTTTCAGCCATTCAAAGTATGAGAATGTATTGCACACTTAAAATGCAAATTAGACTGCAGAAAAAGAAATAAATAAAAATAAAAAAGCAAAAATAAGAAAGTTGCAGGGGAAATGAGGAGATTGAACTTGGTTAAAGAATGATTCATTGGTATGTTCACTAAAATAAATGAAATAAAATTGTACTACACAATCGGGGTCCTGAACTTGATTTTAACATATTTACTAAGCACACAGAAATCTCTACAGTTGATATGGAGAAATTCAACTTTTTACATTTTTCAGCCTCGTGTTATCTTATATTTCTTTTTTTGTGCAATCATTTTGACTAAAAAATGTGTAGTACTACCTCTGTCCCATATTAGTAGTCCACTATTCCATTTTTGGATGTCCCAAATCAATCGTCCCCTTGGAAAAGTCAAAGCAAATAAATGTCATCTTTCCATCATTGCCCTTTATGTTTTCAAAAAAATTCAAACTTCGTAATATATATATTTAAACTAAAAGGTACAAATTAGTAACTTTAAAAGGGGACAATGCGTTAATGGCATGTCCCCTTAAAAATTTCAAAAGTTAAACATGGACGTCTAATACGGAATAGAGGGAGTAGTAGTGTTGCAAATCATGCCTAGGTCAAGTGTAGAAGGAAACTTCACTTTATACCTTCATTAACACAACTGAATAAAGTATAAAACCTACTTAACGCTTGTTTTTATCCTGAAGACTTGAGTATTAAAGGCCTCAAACGAAAAAAATTGCACGCCAGGCCCAGGTTTAGCATTGCCATCCCAGGGAACAGTCCCATCAAATAGGAATAATAGTGTGACAGTAAAAGCAGATAACTGATCACAAAACGATGTACATATGCTAACTCTGTGACCCAGAGAAAATTGTTTAGTGTGCAGAGAAGTGGAGTTAAAACAGATGGCTAAATACTGATGGTCATACTATCACACAACTTGACCCCAAATTTTCTACTAACACTACAGAAAGAATTTACTTCATAGAGATTTGAGTGGCAAAGGACATGCAATCAACAATTTGAACACCGATTGTAGCAAAAATGAAGAAAGTCCAAGCTTATTTTCTACATTTTATAATTGAAAGTAACATTCAAGTGATAAAGGCTATTCACCAATGGACAACTGAAAGCCACATAAGAGTTTAATCAACACAGAATAAGAATATCAAGATCAAACAAATATTTGGATAATATAACCTAGAGATCACAGATATATCCATGTTCCTAAGAGTAGCTCCTGCACAACCTCAAATTGATCCACAGGGGAGTAGACCATCAACCTTAAAGGCTTAAACTACAGTACACAGAAGATAACCATAAGGTATATCACAAGTAACAGGAAATGACATAATAGCTAATTAAAATTAGTAAACATAAATTGACACCGCCCTTTGGCACAATATGGAACCTCTCATTACCACCCGTTCTTTTGTGGGGTCCTATCATGATAGCTAGGCCCCAGCCTTTCCTCTCCCTGTGGTGATATTCTTGACACATCAGAAAGTCTTAAGACAAGTCCTAGGGTTATCACTTGCAGCAATGATTATGAAAATGAATATTAAAGAAAGCAAATTTGAGACATCACAAGTGATAAATTAAAATATCTTGTGCTAAAGTCAAGCAACAATCAGTGCCTTATAATGCTTCAAATGGAAATAAAATACCAAAGTTCAAACCTACATTAAGGCAAAGTTTGACGAATCAAATTTTGCTTACCTAAATATACAAAATAACAAATTGCTTAAAATCAAACTAAATCAGGAAAAGCACATAGCAACCATTCACAACATCTCTAGCACACAACAAAATGGAATGAAAACACGGAAGGGAAAAAAGAAGTGAGAGAACTACTCACCGTAGTTTGCATGGAATACTTGCCCTCTGGAACATTAATCTCAGGCTGTTCAAGAATACCATTTTTTTCTTTTCGCAGAACTACTTGTTCCAACCCATCAACGTTGTTCGATAATCTTCCAGATTGAGGTTTGACTTGTGCTAAAGTACTTTTCTCATGCGATCTCTGATAGGAAGGATCGTTAAATTCACTAGCATCTTTCAATTTGTTAATGTAGTTTTTAGATAAAAGCACTCCTGTCTTCTGCATGTCAATATCCTTTTCCCCCACTAGAGACAAAGCAGCATCACCATTTGACACTTTTGAAAAAGAGGGATCTAATGTAGTTTTATTATAACCAGATTTCTTTTTAGAAGATATTACAGCAGCATTCATCTGATTATGAAATTTCACATCGTCAGAATGTTCAACTGGTCCAGTAATACTCTGAGAGTGACTAAAAGAATTCTTCCCAGCCAATGGCAGTGACCTTCCAGCAGCCTTTTTCCCTACTTTTGCAGGTCTATTTGTTAGGTTACCATCACTATTCTCACCACAGCCTTTTGCCAAATCCTTTTTTCTCCGCTTCTTCGGTTGCTCGTGAGGCGACGAGATAGGTTCATTGCTAGGAAAATGGAACAACTTGCATTAGGAAAGAAAAAAAATCCAAAACAAATCCACTGATCTAATAAGACCATCTGGATTGGGAACTCATTGAAGACTGTATTACATAACACAAGACAAATATAGCTTTCACAATCTAACCATACAAATTTCCCAGAAGCTAAAAGAATTTAAGATAGTGAAACAAATCAAGTTTAATGTAAAGCAATGTACAACGAAAAAGAAGCTAATAGGTAAAAGTGGATTTTTGATACCATCAACAATGAATAACGGATTCTACCCTGATCACTTCAAGCACATTTTGAACAGTTCAGCAATTTTAAGATAGCTAAGGAGAAAAGGTATAAATCCATCATTGTACTGTCAACGATAACGATAACGATGACGATGACTCACTCCCTGTTTTTTTATATTTACCATCCCATGCATTGCGAAAAGATAATGCAATTAATCTGCTGTTCTTGTTCTGTTGCGTCACTCCTGCAGTCTTATTTATTAACAAAAACAGAGAATAAAAAAAGGAAAGCTCCAGATGCCAACTCAAATATTTATGATATATATATATATGTTGAGGAATTAAAATATTAAAGTCACACCCTCTCTAACAGCTTAAGCTTTTAGAGTAGATGGTTGTTAACATGGTATCGGAGCCAAAGGTCTCGAGTTCAAACCTCACTGCCACCCTGAAAATTAAAATTGAAAAACACGCGCTGGACCAAAAAGAAGGTCACACGTGAGGGGGCGTGTTGAAGAATTAAAATATTAAAGTTACACACTCTCTAACAACTTTTAGAGTAGATGGGTGTGATTCTAGTGAACAATATATATGTATATCTTCGATCAACATTTATCTCCATAAGAACTACAAATCTCAAGATAACCCAAATTAGGTCGCATCCGAGTAACTGTTCCTTGAGGTATATCATAGGTAATATATATTGTTTGACTCAGTAAAAATCTTAATTTTTATTTGTTTTCCAAGTTAAGATGTACACGTCACTATGTGCGATTTCACCCCACTAGGGGCGATTTGTAAGGCGATCTGTGTTTTGGTTGTTTGGAATGAAATCTTTTCTGGATATCGCAAGGTTACCAAGAATTTCGCTTGGGGGAGATGTGAAGTCGGCGGTTCCTCATCGCGGTCCGTCATTGTATATCGACGGGGAATCCGTCGGAGGAAGGATATCTGTTCTCTCCTCTTGTTTGGTCGGAAAATTTGACAAGGAAGTGGGGAGTTGTGATCGCGTGAAAGAATGGGAAGCGAGGGCTTGGAATACGACTTGTGGAGTGGGGGTTTCACCGTTATCCGATTCAATGCTTCTTTTCCGGTTTCCTTCTCAGGCAGAGGCCAAACGTGTGTTGAAAGAAGGGCGAAGACAATGGGGTTCTGCAACTTTGAGGATCGATGTGTGGTCCTTTCGTGTTGGTTGCCGTGGCGTTCTCAGTGATCAAGGTCTCAAGCAGATCCGGTTGTTTGGACTTCCATTACATTTATGGTGCCATGCTCTGTTCGTCGAAGTGGGAGAACTTTGTGGTGGTTATGTCAGATCTGACGCGGATGAGACCAGGGATGCTGAAAGCGTTCGGATAATAGTACGAGTTGGTCGTGATTGTCCGAAGTTTGTGTATATCAACGACAACACTTTCTGCTACAAGGTCGCGATTTGGGAAGAAATTTCGCCGGAGCTTGTTCCTTCAACAAAAAGTCTTGAAGGCAGTGACGGATCTCATCTTATGTCGGAAGAAAAATGGAACGAGCTTCTTAGCAAAGGTGAAGAAGGGATTCTCGAAATTCAACAGTGGCTGAAGGATCGTGAAATTCAGCAAAAGGTGAAGTTTACTGGAGGTAGACGTCGAGGTGAGATTCACACGACGAGCAAACGCGTCGTTGATGAGCAACACCGGTGTACACGTGGTGAACGATGGGCTACCCCTTCAGATTCAGCTTTATCCTTATCTCTTGAAGATAAGGTAGGGAAGGATTATTTTCGGGCTGATAAAGGTTTTACTTTAGGCCATAAGTTATCAAGACAGGTCAGGAAATTTGGGCCTGATAATCATGGGCTCATTCAATCTCAACCTTACAGAGCGTATTTGGGTTCTGGGCCTGTTAGAAGAAGACTACAGAAAGGGCCACTTAGATTTGGTCAAACTGGGCAACTCCAAACTGGGCCTCTCAAGTCTGGGCCTATTAGAAAGGTACGAAAAGGGCCTAACTCATTATCTATCTCACTTACAAACATCAAACCTGGTCCTAATGAATCACAAGCCCATACCAAACCCTCTAATATTTTGATGAAATCCGAGAGGAGATTGACGAACGTCGGACGCCATGGATCTCGGTGGACTCGGAATGAAAAGCAGAAATGGGTCGCACGTTCTCGCACTTCTTCTCCAGGTTTGAGTCCTAATCTTTCTCTCAACACTCTTTCTACTTCTTCTCCTTCTTCTTCGGGTGAAGTGGCTAGCGACAGGAATGTTGCTGAGAATGTTTCGGGTCAACAGAGAAGTATCATTGGGATTTCAACTTCAATATCAGAATTGGACGTCTCAAAGGTTACTACCGAGATTACGGGTTTTTTCAATGGAGTGACAGTTTGTGTTGGAAAAGATTTGCATTTCAAATTGAATAATGATTCAGCCGTAGCTTTGCTTAAAGAGCTTCGGCTATTTACTTCAGTTAAAGGTTTGAGCAATTTTTCATCTGAGCATGAGGAGTTTTCAGTAATCCCATCCAAAGAAGTTAATGCTTCGGAAATAGAGGGGATTTTACAGGAAGGAGAGGTTGATGTTGCTCTTCAGCAGCACCCTTTTAACGCATCTTTTTCCGGGACAAATCCTGTTCACGATGAAGTGGACTTTATGGAACCTTTGGCTGTTGTGCGGCCTAATTGTTTGGAGACAACCACTGATCTGGGCATGGAATGGGTCATCGAGAATATTGGAGCAGTTAGTGAAGCTTTGGGTGTCTCTGCAGAAGGTTATGAGGAACAAACCCTGTGTATTCTCCACGAAATTATTGCAGGAAATGGTAGCAGTGAACCAATTCGTGACACAAAAGAAGTCAAAGTCAGAAATTCACATCGGAAAGGCGAACAGGAAGTGAAGAATTTGATTTCTTGTGTTAACTACGATGGAAAGAATGGGTCAACCAAAGAAAGGGGGAGAACTATGAGTGGTAAAAGGGGAGGAGGTGAATTGATTGTTTTTGGTTCTTCATGAAGCTACGACTTATAACATGGAATGTTCGTGGTCTTAATGACCCGAAAAGAAGAAGAGTTATCAAGGTCGCTTTAAGGAAGTGGAGTGCTCATGTTGTCTGCTTACAAGAAACTAAATTGGCTGATATTACTGTTGAGATTGTCAGGAGTCTTTGGGGATGTAGGTTTGTGGACTTTGAAGTTTTAAATGCAACAGACACTTTAGGTGGTATTCTCCTCATGTGGGATCGTAGATGGTTGTCAAGTTTGAACTGTTGGAAGGGTATTTTCTCGGTGTCATGCATGTTTCAGATGGAAGAAGACAATTTCAAATGGACGTTTTCAGGTGTGTATGGGCCTGTTACTGATAGTGATAAACCAGTCCTGTGGGAAGAGCTTTGCTTTGTTAAGGACTTATGGTCATTGCCTTGGTGCTTAGGTGGGGATTTTAACTCTGTTAGATACCCATTTGAGAGATCCACAGGAGGTAGGTGGTCTTCAGAAATGACCATGTTTTCAGAATTTATTGACAATAATTTTCTTATCGATCTTCCGTTGGAAGGAGCGGCTTTTACTTGGTCTAATGGTAGGGAACCGGTTACTTTTTCTCGATTGGATCGTTTCCTGATTTCTGGGGCTTGGGAAGAGCATTTCCCGGATGTCTCTCAGGCTGTGTTGGTTAGAGTCACGTCTGATCATGTACCTCTTGTTTTGGATTGTGGTGGTTTGAGGTCTAGACGCACTCCTTTCAGATTCGAAAACATGTGGCTTAGATCTGAAGACTTTCAAGGGAAGGTTCAGTCTTGGTGGCAAAAAGGGTCTTTCACAGGCTCTGCTAGTTATGTGTTAGCTAGAAAGCTTCAGTTTCTTAAAACTGAGCTTAAGAGATGGAATAAAGAAGTTTTTGGGAATCTTGAATGGAAAAAGAATAGAGCCCTTGTTGATATTGCTGAGCTTGATCGTTTAGCTGAGGTGGGACAGAGTAGGGAGTCTTTACGCTCTCAAAGAGCCTCTTGTCAAGCGGTTTTTGCTGAGATTGCTCATATGGAGGAGATTTCGTGGCGTCAAAAGTCTCGGGCTTTGTGGTTAAAAGATGGTGATCGGAATACAAAATTCTTTCATAGACTGGCCAATGCTCACAGAAGGTGTAATCATATTGGAAGGATTCGGGTTAATGGTTCTGATTTGTGGAGAGAAGAAGATGTGCGCGGAGGAATTGCTTCTTTTTATCAGCAGCTTTACACTGAAACTTTGGATCGAAGACCTACTCCTGATGGTCTTCCATTTAATACTATTTCTGCGTTGGATAGGGATAGTATTGAGATTCCATTCACGGAAGAGGAAGTGCTTAAGGCACTTTCTAGTTGCAACGGGGACAAAGCACCAGGGCCAGACGGATTTACTATGCGCTTTTTTAAGGAGAGTTGGGAGGTGGTGCGAGAGGAGGTGATGAGCACTTTTTAGGATTTTTATTCTCATGGCACATTTGAAAAATCTTTGAATGCATCTTTTATTGCTCTCATCCCTAAAAAGGGCGGTGCATCTGATATCAAGGATTTTCGGCCAATTAGCTTAATCGGATGTATGTATAAGCTTATTGCCAAGGTTCTTGTTTCCAGGATGAGTAAAGTGTTGGATGGTCTTATCTCAGAATCGCAGAACGCTTTTGTTGGTGGAAGGCAGATTTTGGATTCTGTTCTTATTGCTGGGGAATGTGTTGACTCTAGATTTAGAAGTGGGGTTCCTGGCGTTTTGTGTAAGCTTGATATCGAGAAAGCTTATGATCATGTTAATTGGAAGTTTGTTTTGTATCTTCTTCGGAGGATGGGATTTGGTGATAGATGGATAAAATGGATTGACACTTGTATCTCATCAGTTATGTTTTCTGTTCTTGTGAATGGCTCTCCTGCGGGTTTTTTTGCTAGCTCACGTGGTCTGCGACAAGGTGATCCATTATCTTCTTTTCTTTTTCTCATCGTTATGGAAGGTCTGACTAGATTAATGAGAAAAGCGGAAGATTTGGGTTACATTAGGGGGTTCAGAGTTGGCAGAGATGTTGATCATCAGATCCAGATTTCCCATCTTTTATTTGCTGATGATACTTTGGTATTTTGTGATGCTGATATTTCTCAACTCAAATATCTGAGGTGCACTCTTGCTTGCTTCCAAGCAGTTTCTGGACTTAAGATTAATGTCGGAAAGAGTGTGCTTGTTCCAGTGGGGGATGTTCCAGATATTTCCTCCTTAGCTGTTGTTTTAGGGTGCGGAGTTGGTTTTTTTCCTCTTCCTTATTTAGGATTGCCTTTGGGAGTTTCTTCTACTCTGGTTGGGAATTGGGATTCAGTGATTAATAGATATGAGAAAAGATTAGTAGGATGGAAAAAGCAGTATCTATCTAAGGGTGGGAAAGTCACACTTATAAAGAGTACTCTTTCATCCCTTCCTACCTATTTTTTATCTTTGTTTCAAATTCCATGTTCTGTTGCTGATAGAATTGAAAAAATTCAGAGGGATTTTCTGTGGGGTGGAAGGGGAGAGGAGTTTAAGTATCATCTTGTTAATTGGGGATCAAGTTTGCCAACCATTGAGATTCGGAAGGTTAGGCATTCGAAAAATTGTTCCTTTTAATCGTGCTCTCTTAGGAAAGTGGTTATGGCGATTTGGAAGGGAACGACATGGTCAGTGGAGAAGAGTTGTCTCGTGTCGTTTTGGTGAAGAGAGTGGGGGTTGGTCATCTCTTCCAGTCACTATTACGGGAGGCGTTGGTTTGTGGAAATTTATTTGGAAGGGATGAGATGTTTTCTCTACTCTTATTAGATTCAAAGTTTGTAATGGCAGGCATGTTCGTTTTTGGGAGGATCTTTGGTGTGGCGACCAGTTGCTTTCACACTCATTTCCTAGGCTTTATAGCATTGCAACTAATAAGCATGTTTTCGTGATTGATTGTTATCATCTTGATAACAATGGAGTTACGTGGGATGTGCGGTTTAGGCGGTCTTTTCAGGATTGGGAAATGGAGGAAGTTTCTGCTTTTTTGGATATTTTGTATAGGCAGAAGGATATTGGCAGAGGGTGTGATGATATTTTGTGGGTTCCTTTGGCTCATGGTCGGTATGATGTCCGCTCTATGTTTATTCATTTATCCAATTTCGTTGGTTCCGAGTTTCCTTGGAAGTCCGTGTGGTGCTCTAAAGCCCCTCTTCGAGACAGCTACATTGGGGAAGATTTTGACTTTGGACAATTTGAGAAAGAGAGGCAACATCATTATTAATTGGTGTTGTTTATGCAAAGATTATAGTGAATCCGTGGATCACATTCTTTTGCATTGTCCTGTGGCGTTTGGTTGTTGGAGTTTTATTTTCAGCATTTTCGGCATTTTTTGGGTAATGCCTAAGCACTCCTCTCAATTGATTAACGCTTGGAAAAGCTGTCCTGTTAAGAAACAAGCTCGTGCTTATTGGAAGATTGTTCCTCATTGTGTCTGGTGGTGTTTGTGGCGTGAGAGAAATAACAGATCCTTTGAAGGAAAAGAATCGTCCTTAGCTAATTTAAAAATTCATATTCTTCGTTCTTTATTCTTTTATGTTAGAGGAAGTACATGCTCCTCGATTGATGATTTCTTTGATCTCTTGGATTCTATTGGTCCTTAGATCTTTTCTCTTGTATTAGGGATGCGTTCCCCTTTTGAACGTTTTTCTAATATATTTTTACTTATCAAAAAAAAATATATATATATATATATATTGTTTGATGTCTTGTTAGATATTTTTCATTACATTACCTAACTAGACCAAAAATGCTGAAAATCAGACAAAAGCTAGAATATACCTAACGAATATATCAAAACAGAAATAGTAATTAACAAAGTGGCTCGGAGAAACTCACATGCGTTCCAACTTCCCCCGATTAACAAAGAATCCATTGTGTTTTATTGCTGAATTATCAACTTGAAAATACTCATCCTGCACAATGAGGAAACAAGAACTGTAATGAATAGTATCATTACTAAATGATAATTTTGGTTATAAACAGTACAGCCAAGTGGTGCCACAGAAATAACAACTAGAATTGCCAAATATATAGATAACAGGTAACAATACCAACCAGCTCTGTGTCATCTATAAAAGAATCTTCTGTGTCATACTCATCATCATCAGGAACATCATTGAGATCTTCCTCGTCACTACTATGCTTACCCTAAACAGTACAAGATGTCACATTACCAGTTTATTCCAAACATTGTAATTTGCAACACATATAAATTTCAAAAAAATTGTGCAAATGCGAAGTGCCTACAGGAGCAGCGTACAAATGAAAATTTAAATTAAATGAAACATTGCATACCATGTACAAGCGTTCGATCTTCTCAATGACAGCACTGAAACGATGATTAGCAGGGTTTTCATCCTTCACTTCATTTTCAGCAGGTTCTCCCTAAAAAGGAGAAGCACAACTAAGGTTTGCAATGGTTGACTCAAAGCAATCTATTGGGTGGAAAAGGAGACAAAATGTTTTACATTCACAGAAAATACCTGTAAGGATGCTATAATTAGCATCAAACCATGCTTACACAGACTGGCAGACCTAAATTGAGCAATGCATACATACATAATGAGTACCAAGAAGTAGACATTTGCGCTATTTAGGCTATGATGGAGAAGTTGGAGATGATGCTAATCACGGAGTTAAGGCAGGATGGGTTAAATGGATGAGTGGATCCGGAAAATTGTGTGATCGGCATATCACTCAGAGATTTAAAGTGAAGTTCCATAAGACAACTATTAAAAAACCTATTAGACCAGACATTCTTTATGCAATAAAATGTTTGACAACTAAGCACACAAAGTGAACGTGGCAGAAATGCAATTGTTGAGATGGATGTGTGCAAGACAAGAAATGATTAAATTAGAAATGAACACATTCATGAGATTAAGTAGCACCCATTGGAGAAAAAATGAGAGAAAACTGATTAGATGGTTTAGGTGCAAACAACACATTGAGGGCATAGTTATTAAAGATTCGAGGATCACCTAGGCACCAAGGTTTCCTGGAACCTAAGTGCAAGGCAGAATGAAAGGCGCAAGCCTGATTGCAGTAAGACACAATTGTTATAGAAATGAATGTTAAATACAAGTATGTGCAGCGCACCAATTGCAAAAGGGCTATGTCATTTATGTACTCTGAACAAATGGAACACTCATACACAGAAGGACAACAAAGCATCACACCATTTCATTTTGCTGAGTTGGACTTCCTACTAAATGTATGTTGAAACTCCAATACAACAAAACAGCTTCAGGTGTCTTGTTTTGACTATCAGACCATTTTCAACAGGCCAACTAGAGATTATTCACAGAGATTTGTCACTTTTTATTTATCAAAAAAAAAAAAAACTAGAGATTATTCACAGATGGGGCAGTTCTCTAGCTTAATCGGTTTTCAGGTTGGGTGATCATTATTCATTAGAGGATTGAATTCCTAGATGATGTCTGATGCTCTGTTCGTTAGGAAGGAAAGAAGATGGGTGGAGGGAAAATAGGAGGGAAGGAACAAAATTCATTTGTTCGGTAGGAAGGAGACACGGAGAGAAAGGAAAATAGGAGGGATGAGTCATCCATCCTCCTTCACAAATTTTCATTCGCCCAAATTTGGGCGGAAGACAGGAGAGAAAAAAAGTGGCGCTATTATAAAAAAGTTCAAATTACGTAATTATCCTTCACAAATATTAATAAACTCCACAATCTCATCTCAAGAAAAGACTCTCCTTGGTTAGAATCTGTCAACCGAATCTTTCAGCAATCTCTGTGACACAGGTAGCAAACTCTCTCTTGCTCCCACTCTATACACATACACAGATTTATATATAAATATGATCAGTCTCTTGCTCCCGCTCTATACAAATGCATATACCTACACATAAATATGGTCTATTTAAAAACTTATTTGATTCATGTGTTAGTGGGTTAGTGGTAAAGTCTGCTAAGGCAGAATGATCTCGTTGACATCATGGTTTAGGAGAGTTTTCTTGTCTGCTTCATTACAATTTCATTCTCCAGGTCATTTACCCAAATAGTAATAAATGAATATCTATTCACTTTATTAGCACCATTATTGCACCTTTGATGATATTATTATCAAAAGATCAAAACAGTTAGTGCAGCACCATAGATCTGTTCTGGGTCAATGGGAATATGGTAGTCAAAGTTGATAAACAGGTGATGAAACCCTTTGATGATGACCATTGATCCACGGTTGAAGTTAAGCCAAAAAAAAAAAAAATCAAACAAAACCAAATATATATATATATATATGACAAACAACAAATTTAATCGTACTTTTCACATAATAAAAGTTTAAATAAGTGGTAAAAAATAGTGAGGGTATAATGATAAAAATAATTTTAAATTTTATTTCTCTTCTCTCCTAACGGACAAAGTAAATTGTGAGATTCTTCTCTTCCATTCAACCGAACAAAACGAAAGTAGTTCGTAATCTCTTCCCTAGGGATGTCTCATCCTTCACTCCTTCTCTACCTTCCATCCAATTTTCTTCCTTCCTACCGAACGGAGCCTGAAGCAAGAAGATAGTTCTAAAGAGGGGTTCCGAGCTCTTTCCAGGTTGGTGGTTGTTATGGAGGCATCCACCATGGAGTCCATAACAATTTTGGACGGCATCTGAAGCCCCAATTGTCTCTTCACAGGAGAAACTTTGATGGGGTCAGCATTCAGGAGGATGAGTAGGCTCTACATATGGAAACGAGCTAGCAACTTGGAGGTAGTGTTAAATCATAGTATGAGGTGCTTTGTAAGTTTGTAGCAAAGGTGATTCTCCTTTCGTGTGGAAAGCTATTTGGCACTCAAAGGCTCCTATAAAGGTTGCTTTTTCCTTTTCTTTATTTTATTTTATTTTTTTAATTCGAATGTCATTTTTTATTTTTTTTGATAAATAATAAAATAAATGAAATCTCAAAGAATCCCACGATTCAATGAATTATAATACCAACTGAATTCGAATGTCATTTTTGAATATTTGATGATTAGAAAAAGAAGGGAAAAGTTCTAATGAAGTGATGTTGCATGTGTACGAGGGTCGGTTGGAGCCTTTGTCATTCAGTGTGGCTTGATAAATATGGAGCTTTTTATTCTCCTTTTGTTGTAATGTGAATTTTTCCAAGTCAAAGAGGAACTTGCTGAAGAATTGGAATAGGGTAAGCATTAGGCTCGGGATGTGGTCCCTTATGTTTTTTTACATGGAATATTTAGAATGACAGAAATGACTCTTTTCTTAATCTTTTAGGTTGTCTTTCTTTATTTTTATTTTTCCTCCCAAATAGGTGTTCTCCAATGTATATTGCCCTTATGCTTGGAGTTGCACCCTCTCTTCTATAATAAGAATTTACTTATCAAAGAGATGAAGAAGAAATCATTTACAACTGTTTATAAGCAGTGAAATAGGACAGGACATATTGCATTTATATAATAAGTACTCGTGTATTAAGAAAAACTCAAAATATCTTGTACTAGAACTTCTTCAACGAAATCAAAGGTTTAAATACTTAATAGTTTAGCTCCAATTCTCTGTACATATAACACAACCTCTTAGCCTACCAAAACAAACAACCACAATTGTTGCATCATTGAGCAACAAATGGTAATATTAGTCCAACTAATAAACAGAATTCACAATGCTTACTAATTATCAATATATATATATATATATATATATATATATATATATATATATATATATATATATATATATTATAACAGTAATTAATGAAACCAACTTCAGAGACAAACCCAATACTCATTAGATTGAAGTTAAACCGACTCTTACCGGAGCAATGCGAGACTCCAGAGCTGGGAGAGGAATGGAGGGCGTTTGTTCAGGGGCCGATTTAGATCCTTTGACCTTACTGGCGTCCTTCGCAAGCTTTTTCCAAGAAACAATTGTGGTCTCCCCAGGTCTGAGCTCGACAGTGAACCTCTGCCGGCCACCGACCGCATCGAAAGATGGTGAAACCCTCGCAACTTCGCCACTTCCAGCGCCGCCGGCCTTCTCTTCCTCCATCGAACAGTATGGAATTGGAATTTGAGGTACAAAATCTAGGGTTTCAAGATTTGAGAGAGAGAGAAGGGGTGGTAAAACCCTAGATTGAAGGAATGAAATGCCTAGAGAGTGAAAGTAGAGAGAGAGAAGAGTGGTGTGCGCGGGATATTGAAACGTCTGGAACTTCTAACCGCAAATCAACTTCTCTTTTTCGTCTTCTCCATCTTCGACGGGTAAAGCATTTTCTCTCTCTTTCCTATTCTTTTCCCCGGAAAATATTAGGATGGAAAAGGTAAGACCATATGAGTTGTTTGGCTAATTTAACTTTTTGTTTGGATTGAGAAAGTGAAAAAAAAAAAAACAAACAAACAAACAAACAAGAGACGACACTTTGCTTGGAATCGAATTCTTTGGATGTAGAATTGGACGAGAAAGGTTAGAATTAGGGGCTGCTTTTGTTTCACAGTAAAATATTTTCTAAAAATTATTTTTCTTATTTTTTGATGTTTGGGAAATTCTAAAGTTAGGACATTATTTTTCTTGTAAATCAATTTACTCTCAAATGACTGAAAATGATTTAATAAAAAAAGAAAAAAAAAATTCACTTACTCATGTACTAACTTGAGTTATCTAACCATTCGTATTCTTATTGAACCTCTATGTCCTTCTAACAACTATTCTTTTTCAATCCTCCCAATTTAAAAATCTAATATTCAATCTTCTTTCTATACGTATACTTAGAGTGGGCGAAGGGAGAAAGAGGGATACAAATTTGGATTGGTCAAGGAACATATTTGGGTCGATAGGATAGAGAGAGAGTGGAGAGAGAAAATAACAATAAGAGGGAGGGATGGTTTAGCGGTAAGAGAGAAAGTAACAAGGAGAGAGGGGGAAATGGTTTAGGGGTACTGTTGATGTAAAAATCCTCACGACTCGTAACAACTGCGTTTATCTACAAAACAATAGAGATTATATTACATCGGATGGCACCGGTGGGGTGCCTGCCGAGGATCCTCCGACAATCAAATCAGTTTTTGGAATCGTATAACATAAAAGCCATTCTCTATTAAATGTTCATGAGTTTTTTCTCATACCTCATTAACTGTCACACGATGTATTTATTATCGTTCTTGAGAGGAGGTTGGTTACACAAATGTCAATCAGGAATATTTGAATAAGATGGATCGTGATCTTCATTCACCAACTAAATGACAGAGTCGTTGTCATATTTACCTCTTGCATTCTAGGATTTGAAAAATGGACTCCGTTGTTATCTTGATTGGTGAACTTCAAATTATTTTATCCTCGTTAGGTACTATTCCCTAGTGGTGAGGAACACTAAAGAAAGAGTTAATTGTGCACAAAAACTGATCTAGAAAATATTTTACGCACTGCTACCAAACACCAGAAAATAAAAAATAAAAAGAACATTTTACATGAAAATTTAAAATATTTTCCATGGAAAACATTTTACGTCAAAACAAATAGATAAAATGAAATTTTATTTGTTTGTTTGAAATAAATTAAATTTTTTAAAATTTTTTTTCTTTTTTTAAATGCTTGGATATAATAAAAATTTTGAAAGGAAAAAAAATTTAAACCATTTTACCCCTATAAAGATGTGAAAAGAAAAAAATTTAGACTTTAAAAATTAGGTAAATTACACTGATCTTCTCTGAGATTTTGGCAAATTACACACGAGCATACCCTTCAAGGTTTATTACTTCTTCCCCCGAGATTTGGCGCATGTGTTCAACAACACCCCTACTATTTTATTTCCAGCAGACTTGTTGACCAAATTTTATAAAATGACAATGCAATATAACATATTATTATAATATAAGGGCATTACTAACTTTTTACTGTTAAGGGCACAAAACTTGCTATTTTATACTAAAAAATAATTAATTAATTAATCTTTTTTATTAGTTAAATGTTATTATTTTTTCTGTTTTATAGGAATTAATTTTGAAATGAGAAGAAAATAAGCAAAAATTGCAAAAAAAGAGATAGTTTATGGCTACATAAGGATAAAAGTTTATTTCTTTCTAAAAAAGACAACTAGAAGCTTTGTAGGAGAGATGATTCAGAGCATAACCAACTTTAATAGAGGTCTTGAGTTTAAGACTTCATTGCATCACAGTCAATCAAATTCAAATTTGGCTCCATCAAATAAGCAAATATCATTTCAAATCGGAAAGTAGCAAGATTTTAGAAAAAAAAAAAAAAAATTATGTATTTTTAATTTTTCAATTTCCCTCTTGTATTTTAATTTTCAATTTTTTTTTTCCCATTTAATTCCTCCCTTATAAACTCTATAAATAGGGACATATGCAGGTAAGGGTTAGAAGATAGCGAGGGAGTTCGAGATTTTATATTGTATTGCATTCTTTTTCCTTGTAATTCTTTCTTTTATTCAATGAAAAACATCTTTATTTCTATGTTTTATTTTAGGAAGGCGATATTCGTTCTCCACTTTTATACAATTGCACTCCATTTTTCTTTTTTCTTTACGGGAAATGACAAGAAAGTCCTTAAACTCATTAATGCATCATCCTTCATCTTATAATACCACATCTACCCTTTTCACTTTAAACTTTTTCTTCTTACCTTGTTTGCTTTTTTATTTTATTTTTTTCACAAAATCCATAATCTTTAAATTTTAGGACTTTATTTATCAACAAATACAAGGTAAACTTAAATATTCAAGTAAATTTCAAATTAATTCTTAAAAATCACATTTGGGAAAAAAAAAAAATTAAACTAAACTCAAACCATAAAAAGAATATTTTTAAATTTTTTTTTTTTTTTTTTACCATTCCCATTCCCAAATGTCAATTAGGAAAAAAAAATTTCTTAAAAATCACATCAAGAACAAAAATATTTAAACGTAAACTCTAAGCATAAAACAAAGAAAAAAAAAATATCATTCCCATCACTATTTTCATCAAAGGAGTTTTATGCTAGCAAGATCAATTACATCGTTATAACTCTGTTATTTTTTCATTTGTAAAAATCTTTCATTATTACTTACAAATATCAATATCAAACCCTAACGAAAGAGAAGAGAGTTAATATAAAATAGAGAAAAAGTTTAGAAAAGCAAGAAGCAAGATAGAAAAAGGAGTTAACAAAGTTAACAAAAAAACGCAAGATACCAAAAACATTAGTAGGGAAAGTTAGGGAAAGAGGGGGAGACAAAAATATCTTACCATAACTGAAAAAGGTAAATGTGATATTGGTGAAAATTAATTATTAATTTTTGAAGTTAGGGTTAGAGGTGTCATTTTCTTTAAAATTGGAGTGCAGTTGTATAAAAGTGAAGTGATATTGTTAATATTTTAGCTTAAACACCTCATCTCAAGGGAAAGATGAAGCCACCATGGCTAACATGTAATTGAATTTATTTCATATCTTGTTTTAATTTTCCGATTTAGAACATGTCTTTTATTCTTCTATTATTTGTTCTTAGATTGATAAAAAAACATAGAGGGAGGATTCTTCATGTTTGCCAATTAATAGTAATTTGGATAATGTCTACTTATATTTACTAAAGATATACCCGATTAAATAAAAAAAATTGTTCTCTCAATATATAAGCAAGTATTATTTAACTCTATATTTTCCTTTATCTTTCCAAGTAGTAATTGGATTGATGAAGTGAATTGCTTATAAGAGGAAAATTGACAAGAACAAAAGAAATTTGGTTATATGAATCCATGGTGGTGAATTCTCATCTGTGGAGGGAAAAATCTCCCTCCAATAAGAACAATTCACGTCATCATAAATATAACTTTACCTTCAATAAAGGTCAAAGCCCATTTCATCAGAAGCCCAAGTTGAGTTGGTCATTAGCCCAAAACTACCGCTATCTAACTACGGGCTTTACTAAAGCTCGAATCAAGACACCAGCAGTCATGTGTATCAAGTTAGACGCGGCCCAAATCCATTTAAAGAAGGAACCAGTCCTACAAGGAAAATGATTCATCAAAAGAATAAGTTCTGTGTAAGGAAAATCCAGAAAGGGAAGAATTATAAAGAGGAAAGAATTCTATTTGTAAAGAAATTGATATATGGAAAGAATTAGAGGACAAGCAACGCGAATCGTACCATAATTCTTCTAACTTTTGTATATAAATAGAGGCCCAGACCTCCAATAAAGGGATCCAAGCAATTCTACGCTTCTCTAGATATTGTTCATATTTATTTTTACTGTTCTTGAGTGTGTTGTATTATTTTTCTCAATTGTTATTGGTTGAGTAGAATTTTGCACTTACACTTTGGCGCCGTCTGTGGGAATTGTGTGCAAATATATTCCCATTCTTGTTTTTGTTTCACAAGTGAATCCTGCAGTTAACCGTCCAGAATGTCGAACGGAGGATCTTCAGCAGACCAACAGACGGAGTTGATGCAAAAGATGCGTGAAGAATTTCTGCACCAATTTGACGTACTTCGTCAGGCAAACGAAGTAAGCGTGGCTTAGATCGCCTTGCTTCAACAGTAGAATAACGCTCTACAAATGACGCTGGCTCAGTTGGCACCACCGCCACCAGTGGGTGACACAGCAGCACCCCCTAGTCAGAATATTCCTCCGATTACTGGACTTCCGCCTGATGGGGTTCCACCTAATGGGGCACGACCCAATGAGGTTCAGCCGAATGAGGTTCAGCAGCAACGGAAGGCAAGATCTGAGGCTGCAGCTTCAGATAACGTCCCTCATCACACGCAGGTTGAGCAGGTCGAATCCAGCCATTAGCTTACGGTGTGGTCCAATGGAATCCCAGATGGTGCAGGTGTTCAGGATGCCTTTGACGAGAAGAGACTCCTGAAGATTCAAACACCTGCCGAGATGGCTAGAGAACATAAAAATTCTTTGATCAAAACTTCTTTCACTGACGATGTGTATCTGGTAGAGAGGCCCAAGAAATTCACGATGCCTTCTTTCACCCAGTTTGATGGAACAGGGGATTCTTCTCGGCACCTAGATCATTATGCTCAAAAGATGGCTTTGGATGATCGTAATGACCCTTGGATGTGCAGAGTTTTTCCTACCAGTTTGACAGGAGCAGCACTAGAGTGGTTCAGGAATAGACCGCATAAATCCATCCCGGATTATGTAACTCTATACACCATGTTCCTGGTACAGTATTGCGGAAATAAAAAGCAAAAGAAAAGCATTGCCAGCCTCTTCACTGTAAGGCAGAAAAAGGGGGAAACATTGCAGGATTTCTTATCAAGATTCAATATGGAGGCATCAGAAATAGCGGATTGTCATCCCGCAACTGCTATAGAGACATTTAA